CCCTAAACCCTAAACAGAAAACCCTAAGCCCTCATCTTCACTTTGGGGAGGCCCAGAATCTCCTCGAGGAGTTGGAGCTGCAGCAGATCGCCGTGCGCCGCTTCGGAGCTCGAGCGTCCGTAGCGTGTATGTATATATATATATATAGATATATATACTGGTGTATATATATATATATGCATATGTATTTATATATATATATATATATTTATATATATATATATATACACACACACACACATTTTTTAGGTGTTTCTAGGGCGGGTTCTAGGGTTGGTGTTGAGCTCTTGTTGTGTTATGTTTTTGTCTGGTGTTTTAATCTCTTTTGTTGTGTTTGTTTTTGGGTTTTGGGGGGTTTTAGGGTTTACGGCTTGGGGTTAAGGTTGCCCTAAACCCTAAAACCTAAGCCCCTCAACCCTAAGCCCTAAACCCTAAACCCTAAACCCCTAAACCCTAAACCCAAAAGGCGGTTGTTCAGGGCCTTGACCGGGAAGGTTTCATCGCTCCGGCGGGCTCTCTTCTTTAGGGTTTGGGGTCTAGGGTTTTGGGTTTAGGGTTTAGGGGCATTGGGTTTAGGGTTTAGGGTTTAGGGCTTAGGGTTTAAGGTTCAGGGTTTAGGGTTCACAATACCCCCTAATTAATCCGAGGAATAAGCCTTAAGTTATGGGGGTTTGGTTTTAGGGTCGAAGATCCTACCTGGGGATTGGCCCGTGGCGGTTTGTGGGGAGGTGGTGGTAAAAAGCTGGAAGTGACTTCCGCTGGCAGCACGTGACCACTTTAATTTCAGAGCCCTGAGTCCTAAACCCACAGCTCTGTGCCCTAAACCTGAAATCCTAAGCTCTGAACCCTGAGCCCTAAACCCTAAGCTCTGAACAACCCTAAACCCTGAACCCTAAGCCCCAAACCCCAAACCCTAAACCCTAAACCCTTGAAGCCTAGACCTAAACCCTAAGAGCTTGACAACCCTAAACCCTGAACCCGAAACCCAACCGCAAACCCCAAGGTTTCTTCAATGTGGAATCAAACCCAACATCGGCCAATAAATTTAGGGTTTAGGGCTTAGGGTTTGGGGTTTAGGGTAGGAACGTAGGTTGAGGAAGAAACAGATCTTCCGTACGATTTAGAGAATCAGGAGATATAGTTGGCAGGTTATGCGTAGTGCTATAAGTACCTCAGTGCCGCACATGTAGGCCCTTATCAAAAAAAACTTTCTTTCAGATGCTAATGTTTATCGTGGCAAATCCTCCTTATAGCATTACTGAATACCGACATACCCAGTCACCCCACCCCATACCTAAACTAGACCGTCTTACACCCTTCAGCACTTCCGAAACCGTCCGCAGCTACCACCACAGGTACTGCTCGATGCAAACCTTTCTTGCCGGGATCTTCTGGGCAGGCTCACGCGGATGGGTTTGACTTGATGTTCGATCACGATCGGAGCACTCCAAAATCAGCCATGCTTGATGAACCCCAAATCCACCCCCCCCCCCCCAAATGCAAGGACTACAGTTCTTTATCCTTAGACCCCTGCAAAAACCCTGATCCCTAAACCCCTTTTTCTTAACCGCCTGAGCCATCGGAGGCGGCTGGGAGGAATGCTGTGGCGATTCATGGAGGCATGGATGCCCAAACCCGAAATCGTGTTGTGGGAATCACCGGCAGAACCTGTGTCTAGGGTTTAGGGCGTGAGCGGTTTGGGGGTTTGCGCTTAAGGTTTCCCGAAACCCTAAACCCTAAACCCCTAAACCCTAGACCCTAAACCCTGAACCATTTGGCTTGGGGGGGTTCAGGATGACGGCTTGAAGAATTCGCCAGAATTGGGCGCCTCAGCATGTCTTGAGATAGCCCTAAATGCAACATGCTAAGTTCACTGCGAAGTGCCTTTACATCCAGTTTCGCAGACCCTAAATAAAACCGAAGTGCCTTTACATCCAGTTCCCTAGACCCTAAATGAAATCTTAAGCCGTAAAGCCTTACATCATAGAGAGGCAGGAGGAGTCCCCCAGATTTGAACCCCCAGATTGCCTGGGGAATGCCTCGGTCTAAATCTGAGGGCCCCCATGAGTTGCAAACGCGCTGCAAAACCCCATTCTAATTATTAAGGCAACGAAATTAAACCATTGCAGTAATCAATCCTTATAGAACTTTTGTTGAGCCCTTGAAAGAAAATTATTACGGTCCCTATTTACATTACCTTTCTTCTGCCGAAGTGTTGGGAAACTGGAGTGGGGGTCTGAAGTTTACTTAGAGGTTCAGAGTCCAGGGGACTTTAGAAAGTAGGGTTATAAGTGCAGCAGATAGGGTTCGCAGTAGTTCTAGGCCTAGTTCCTAGTCACTCTGTTTTCAGCCCCAGTAGCGTAGGGTTCAGGGCTTGAGGTTCGCAGTCGGAGATATATTCTTCGGACTGACGGTTTGACCCCAAGGTCCGGAGTGTAGGGTTTAGGGGCATAGAGAGGTCTAAGGCTAAGCGTCTAGAGAGAGCTTCCTTGACACTATGAACCTTATTGCTTCTAGTAAGTAACTCAGAAACAGAGTGACCGCGCAATAGTAGGTTCTGCCGGATCCGGGTCGTGTGTAGTTGTGTTTCGCGCTAAACCCTATTTAAAGGTTCAGGGGACTTTGTAAGTAGGGCTATAAAGACGTTACACAAGGCTATAAGTAGTTACAAGTCCAGGTCCCCTCTGTATAGCCCTAGTTATTACCTCCCAGGACCCTACATCCTAAACCCAAAACTCGAAACCCGAAGCCGCCCTAAACCCTAAACCCTAAACCCTAAACCCTCAACCGTTGAAGAGATTGTCGTCAGGTCATTCCGAAGACTCCCGAGCAGTGGAGTAACGAGGCACTCAGGGTTCTTAAAGTCAGGCGCTTCCTTTCGCGGTCTTTCTACAACGGGTCCCGCCATACAAGGCTTCTAGACGAAGACGCCATGTTTTCTGAACCGGATGTGCATGTAACGGATCATGCACCTATGGTACTTGGAGATTGGTGTGGTTGTAAGGCCTAGGGCTTGGGGCTTAGGGTTTTATGTAAGGCTCAGGGCTTATAGGGTTTAGGGTTTAGGGCATTGGCTCAAGGTTCGTTCGTTCAGCAGTTGCTCCCTAAACCCTAAACCCTAAACCCTAAACCCTAGACCCTAGACCCTAAACCGTAGGGATCGCGGGTGGAATTCGGTCTTGGAGCGATCTTCGGCATCTTCGGTTTCGCTTTCTGTGCTGTGATCTTCCTCGGCATTAGGGGAGCTCTCTAAATTAGAGTTTAGGGTTTAGGGCTTAGGGTTTAGGGTTTAGGGTTTGAGGGGAGCTCTCTAAATTAGGGTCCCTTTAAGGGTCCTTTGCAAAACGGTGCCGTACTACCTTGTGGTCCCTGATTTAGAGAACTACCCATTTCTGAGTTGGACATGCAGGCCTGGGTCTTTGTAGCACGGGGTTTTCGCAGGTAGCTAGTGCTGAATCCCTAAACCCTAAACCCTAAACCCTAAACCCTAAACCCTAAACCCTAAACCCTAAACCCCTAAACCGTTTGTCTGTCGGCATTTGGGGAGTCTTGAGGCTTGGGCGGGTCAGACCTTGAAAGCCTCCAAAAGAGAGCCCCCGGCGCTGGACAGCATTCCCCTGTAGTCGTTTCGGTGTTAGTTTTATGGTTGTCATCGAGCGCTCAGCCTAAGCATTTTGACCCACCTGAGGCGTCGAACCCAATACCCGTCGTCGCCAGAACTTGATGTAGGGGGCCTTACTAATTCGAATGGGGTTTTGGGGGTTCCTTGTTGTAGTTTATAGCATAACATACCCTCAAACCCTACTCTAAAAATAAAAGCCCCTACATTACGCATTCTACAATGTCCCCAGACCTAGGAAGAAGCTGAAAGCCCAAAACCCCAGTGTGTCCAAAGGCCGTAGCTGTACAGTTGGAAGCTGATTTACAGTAGAAGCCCAAAAGTTGGAAACCCAGTAGCCTCAACGCTTAAGAGTAATATATAGCGAATTTTAGCACCATTTGTCCTTAATCCGGTTTCCAACATTTTGGGTTTACTATAAAGTGCCTCAGAGCTCTCTTCACCCTGGGGCAGGCCTACTGGGCCTACCTGCAGAAGCTGCAGGCCCTGTTACCACTACCTTTAACTACCGGGTTTAGGGTTTAGGGGTTTAGGAATTTAGGAATTTACGGTTTAGGGTTTAGTAACTACCAAATCCCCATTGTTTGTCGGGCTCCTGTTGATTTTTTATGTTAGGGTTGTATAAGTACGTAATGTAAGATCCTGCAAAGTAGGTACCGCTAGGGTGAGGACGTGCGTGGACCCCCTTGGAAAACAAGGTCACCTAAGTACCGAATACTTGTCAGTTTCACTACCTTGACCTACCGAAGCCCACTTTTTTGTAGGTTCTTATTATAAACCCTGCTATGGCAATTTTCGGGACCCTGGAAAAAAGTAGATTCTGGTGGGTTAAGGTAGAGCTGCGAAGGGACCTTTGACCACGGGATGTTGGAGTTTGCTTCAGATTACATTCGAGAGGAGGGGGAGAGACTGTAGCTTCGGGCTTGGAGTAACTAAACCCTAAACCCTAAACCTAGGGTTTTAGGGTCTAGGCATGGTTTAGAGCGGGGCTTACGAGTTGAGGGTTTGACGGTTTTGGGTTCAGGGGTTTCGGCTTAAGAGGTTAGGGACGCAATGTGTATAAGAGTTTACAGTTGCGGGCAGCAGCTTGCAACGAGGTGGCTCTTGGATGTTTCGCGTCTGCTGTTTTGTGTGCTGCGTGCTTGCGTGCACGCGCTTTTGTGTGTTGGCGTGTCTGACTGCCGAGTCGATTGCAAAAGCTCTGGACTAAAAACGTTTTCACTTTATCGATTCTCCGTAGGCCCCGATCCCTGAACCCGAGAAAAGCCAAATCACACGCCTCACACCTACCTTAACCTACCAAAACCCCACTGTTTTATGAAGGTTCTTATTATCAACCCGAATATGGGAATTATAGGGACCCTACAAAAAAGTAGGTTCTGGTGGGTTAAGTCAAACCCTAAACCCTAAACCCCCTACAATTCAGTTTGCGCCGTGTTTTCAAGCTCGATCCTTGGGCGGCGATATGCCGTCGAAACACTGAAGCCCCCGGAAGACTTTGCAGGGTTTAGGGTTTAGGGTTTAGGGTTTACCTCAACCCCAAAGATTGCACCGGTAATCCTCCTGTCTCAGACCCGCCCACCCATCGGAAGGTCGACAACTTCGGGCGCCACGGGTGGCCTGGCCTGGCAATATAGGGGCCTCAAGAATTGGCCATATTATTTTGGGGTTCCTCACTATGAGTATACTAAGAAGGGCTAAAGCCCTTTCCAATAATTACCTATACTATTTTGGGGGGTTCCTTATTGTGATTATTCTATAAAGGACCCCAAACCCCTATTCTAATTATCAAGGCCCCTAGGTTCGCGGTTTAGGGGCGTGGGAGAAGGGCGAACGAACCCTGAACCCATGCCCTCCTGAGTACTGAACCTCAAACCCGTGTGTTTCAGCCTGCCCTTTGCCCCCCAAAAACCCACAAAAATCCTACTTGGGGGACTCACTATCTCAACGAAACCCTATGAAGCCCGAACATGTGACCTTCCGAAGCTGAAATTGTGAACCCGGCTAGTTTGGAAGCCTGGGTAATTCAGAATAACATCCTTGGGTTCTAGAACTTATGGCTTCAATGCTTCCTACTATTGCTGTAGTACTCATGAAACTTCTAACACCCAGCCGAAATCCTGTTCGACTGACTTGGGCCCCTATGTACTACGGCCAAGCCCTGAAACCCTAAACCCTCGCAACCCTAAACCCTAGCAACTCTAAACCCTCGCAACCCTAAACCCTAGCAACTCTAAGCCCTGCACCCTAAACCCTAGCAACCCTAAACCCTAGCAACCCTAAACCC